TCTCTCTCTCTCTCTCTCTCTCTCTCTCTCTCTCTCTCTCTCTCTCTCTCCCCATAGCCACCCTCCAGCACTACTCCTCCCATAGACATCACCCCATCACGGCTAAAGCTGATGCGGCGCAGCACAGACCGTAAGAGTGAGTTCCTGCGTGGGCTAAAGGATGAGAGAAATGGGGATGTGAGTGACTGCCACAGCCCAGGAGCTCCAGCAGAGGTGCAGATGAATTCATCTATAATCTGTTGCATTTTAGGTTAATTAGTTTGCCATTATTTGCTCCGTTTAAGATTATCTAGAATTGGCTTATTAACAGATTTGGAGACTTCCTGCTTCTATCAGTTCCAAATCCACCTACAATGTTGTCAATAGATTTTTATTTTGGGATTAGAAAGTCAAATTATGTAATGTATAAAAATAATTTCCATCTGTTTTGTTTGTCAGCATTATATAGCCATCAGCAACCAGGTTTTCAAAACAGATGCATAGGTTATTGCTTATTTCCATGATTTCAGTAAGTTTAGCAAGCAATTAACAGATTTGTTCAACCTTAAATTCTTGTTTGCTGAGGATTAATTTGTGTTTAGGGAGAGGGAAGTACCCCAGAACCAAAAGAGTTTGAAGAGAGTCATGAGAACGGCATCTCCCACTCTCTCAGTGACTCAGACCCAGAGCACTTGTCCAGCTCTCTGGAGGCGGAACACAGGTCAGAGCAACCACATGCAAACACTTCAACACATTCTCCTCCATCAGACGCGTATAAGCTCACTTCCAAATTCTAGTGAGCTGCCTACATGAGCAAATGCCTTCTAATAATTTAAAGGTGTAGTCCGCCCAAACATGAAAAATCTGTCATCATTTACTCACATTCATGTTATGCACAAAAGATGTTTTAAAGAATCTTGGTAACTAATAAAATTTAGGTTCCCATTGACTTGTATGGACAAAAAATATAATGAAAGTCATTGGGAACCGAAACAAAACATTCTTTCAAATAGATTTTCAGGTCATCAGAAAAACAAAAATACATATAGACTTGAAAGGACATGAGGTTAAGTAAATGATGACAGACACAGGCGGAGGGTGAACCAACTTCAGGGTAAGGCTAAAAGCAGCCAAATGTATTAAACATCATAAACCAATCTTTTTAGGCAAGGACCAGACATGCGTGTCATGTAAGCTAAAAAACAAGTTTAATGGGACTGAATTTGTATTTAACGTGATTACAGGTGCTCCCAAATATGATCTTAATAAAAACGTTAGAAATTGATAATTAGGCTATATAACGTTTCCTTTCCACGGTTATTCAAACAGCGAATAAATTATATATAGAAAGTGACATTATCACTAACATTGATCTATCGCGAATTTAAGCATTAAGCACTCTCAAAAAAACTAAACTATCGTTATAATCACTGAAACTGTATACACTGTGAAATGAATCTCTTACATTGTACGTCCATCTGCACTTTGTTGTTTATGATGAAAGAATTCGAAAGAGTCCGGAATTCAGTCAGCGAACGCGCACGCACTCAACAAAACTGATGAGTTCGAACGATGACTCATCTGAACGCCTCTGACTGCCCATTGCATTCCTAAGCTCAACAGAATTGTGATTGGTTAAAATGTGCAACACTGGAAATACGGTGCAACATGAGCAGATATTAATTTAATGCCGCAATCGACACTGTCTGTTCATAGTCACTTTGTTAGCAACAGACGTAATAGATTTAATTTGTTTGTGCAGGGGCATATTTGTCCAATTTAGTGGCATTTATGGCCTATGATGACAGAATTATCAATTTGAGGTGGACTATCCTTTTAAATTGTGTCGCAGGTGACTGATTTGGATTGTTGTACATGGGCAGCAACGTCATGTATTATACGAATAGCACTTCTTATGCACATGGAAGACAATTGAGTTCATAAGTTGCCTAATCGCATGTTGCTTAACTAGCACTGCAATATTCTAGGCATAAAGATACAAGATACAAAGATACAAACTTTTTATTCATTTCATTTTGCTTTTTGGTTGTGGAATAAATAAAAAATGTTTTTTATTGTGATATGCTATTATATTTATTATAATATTATATGCTTTTTTATTTTTTTTAATTGAAATTTGCTTATTTGCAAGCAAATTTATCTCGGTTCAAACACCACATTAAATTTATTTTTTCACTGAGCTTCATCACATTGCATTTCAAATTAAATTCATAATGAAGGATATAATTTTGCCAAAACCAGTTATCTTTGATGTATAACTAGCACACTTATGGTGTAATGCTACCTTAATAGGCAGCACACTAGGTTTTTGAACAGAGCCACACATTGATCCGCTCACATCACAACAACATGGAACATATCCACAATCCACATACTCACACATGTGGATCCTCTATGACAGGTTGCTGAAGGCAATGGGATGGCAAGAATACCCAGAAAATGATGACAACTTCCAGCCCCTCACCGAGGATGAACTCAAAGAGTTTCAAGCTAAAACTGAACAGGTATGGGACATGTATACATTGTTTGTTTGTTTATTCTTTGTGTAAATTGAAGCTCATCCTGCGCGTAGTTCATTTCCTTTGTGCCTGACTATATGTGTGTTTGCTCTCAGATGAAAAAGATTGGTCTGGGACGTAACGGTGTGCTCTTGAAGCCCCGTAGTGTGACCCTGCTAACCTGGAGGAACGCCCCTAACCCTGGCCTGGAAGAGTGCTCTGAGTCTGAGACGAGCAGTAGCAGCCAGACCTCCGATGATGATGATACCTAATGTGGCTTTAAACACCCCTCCCACATTTCCCTTTCTCTCTTTCACTTAATCTGTCTCCTCCATCACACCCATTTGTTTCAAACTAAAAGAAGAAGAGATTCTTTTCATGGACAAGGAACATCGGTCATATCCCAGGCGGAGAGAAAAGGAATTCACTTGTCAGCTCGTAGGCAGTGTCTTTTTGTTTGATTTTGTTTTCCCCCCTATGTCTCCTTGTCTGCATTTTGTTCTTTATCCTGAACTAGAAATGTCAAAGAAAGCCACACAACACCCTCCACCAGATCTTTTTTGTTTTTGCTTGGGGAAAAAAAAAGACATTCATAATAATAACACCAATTATAACCGTGATTTAACATGAAATAAGGCATCATCTGAATGTTCTGTAAAATGGCTTTTGACACCTTTCTAAATTTTTTTTTTTTTCCTTTTCGCGAAAAACTATTCGTAGCATTAGTGTTAAGATGAAACAATCATTCTCAATCTTCCCAGTCCCTCATAGAAATGAACTCAAGCCAGTCATCCCTGCAGCAAGGAAGAACTAAAGTAACACTGAATGGACTGTCACATGCAATCTGGCAGCTAGAACATCAGTCCATTTCTGGCTCCAGTTCCAGCAAACTGCTCATTTTCACTCTTTTCATTCTGCTGAACCATACTAATATACCTGATTTCATATGTCTGCCAAGTACACATGTGAGAAAACCTTTAAAGGATGTTTAAAAGTTGAAACCTAGCTTGTGGAAGAGTTTGTCAGGAACTGGTTTTTGAATAAAGGTAACGTTTGGATGGAAGGGTCTATGTTTTATATGCTGCGTTCTGGGAAGCTTGGCGAACATACAGATGTTCAGTTCACTTAGGTTGGGTTCTGTTTAGGAAAAATTGAAGTCCAAAAAAATCATAAACAGACAGTTTTCTTTCTTGCATCCATATATGGTGTAAAACATTTTTTTCCCCCTTAACCTAAAAGCTGTTTGATTTAAACCATATTGAGAGTTACTCTATTGAAAGCATTTTCATGCTTACAGAAATAATGCTGTGGCAATCATTTTCAATAGCTTTACATTCATTGCATGTAGATTGATAAGGGGTATTCAATAAACACAAGAAAGGTCTGATGAACTTATTCCCTCACAAAACCCTAATAAAATCTACCCAATGGAATAGAAAGCATTAAACATTATTGGGCTTATGTAATGTTTACAATGCAGGGATTGGTCTGAGCTGTCTATGATTTGTAATGACTCTGAACTTTGAGCGATTCAGTAAGATGGTTTGCACGCTTTGTTCTGCTTTGTTGTTCTTTAAACAGTTCAGTTTGGGCGCCAAGTTCTATCCCTGCTGCTGGCAGTGAAGTTGAGATCCATCTTTAAAAGTTCTTTGTTTCATGAGGGACTGCTGGTGTAAATTGTGCATCTCCTTTTTTTGTACCTTGTTTTTGCTGATGGGGTATAAAAATTGCTTTATCGCAGATTTAAGTTTCTTTTTTTAATTTTGGTACAGCTGTAAAAATTCCCACATAGTTGTTTTTTTGTTCTTCTTTTGTTTGCATTATATTGTTTCTGCAGCCTTGATATTCAGGGTGGATTGTAAAAAATATAAGAATAAAAAATTGTGAGTTTTGGAAGATTAAGATTATTTTGATAACATTATTTACAGATTTGAGAAGATAAAAGGTGTCATGTATGGGTTTATCTGTATGAGACGAAGCAGACATAAACTACTGCATCATAATGAAAAGATCGGAGAAAAAAATTGTAATAAATATTTTGCATCAGTTTGCCAAATATGTCCAGCCTTTCGTTTTCTGCTGAAACACTTGGGGAAACATTCTTCATGTTTTAGGAGGGCAAGTGGTAACGTTCAAAATATGCATGCAAAGGATAAAAATAATAAGCATTTAAACATTGAAGGGTTGGATTCTTGCTCTAACCTCATCCATTCTTCACCACTCCCTTTTTCCAAGGTGACTGTAACCAACAAACAAAACTTCAGCCAACAAATGCACAAAACGTAAAAGTTAAGGCAGACATTCTAACTAAAAGTATATTCCTATTTTTTAAGAATCAGCCCAATTTAAAGTTTGAATAGGGGGGGGGGGTAAAAGTTGGATTGGGGGGGGGGGATTCTAAATTCTACAGAGTACTTGCTGGAGAGATGGAAGGTTTGGGGGAGTTAATGTGTCGAAACTGTAAGATGGCATTCCATTCTACTGCACTCTTGGATAAACACAAGGCCAAATTCTGCATTGGCACAGACCTAAAAGACCCACTCGCTCTATGGAGACAAAGGGGATTCACGCAAACGGAGAAAGCAGCTGTGAAGATGGTGCATCCTACACCTGATTTAATTATTGTAAGTAGTTGAATGCTATTTAATTATTCCAAAAAACTCCAGTTGAACAATGTTTTAATAAAATATTTTGTGTATTATAAACGTATAATTTGAATAAACAGTTCTGTTTGTTTTATTTTCCATTTCATGTGTCTTCCTTATACATTACCATTCAAAAGTTTGGGGTCAGTAAGATATTTCTGAAGGCAATTCATATTTTTATTTAGCAAGGATGAATTTGACCAAAAGTGACTAAAGAGTTTTCTTACAAAAATTTCTCATTTAAATAATTGTTTAAATTTCTATTCATCGAAGAATCCTGAAAAAAATTGATTATGGTTTCCACAATAAAAAAAATGCAGCACAACTGCTTTTCAACACTGATAATATTAAGAAATGTTTTAAACAAATACCAGCATATTGGAAAGATTTCTGGATGATCATGTGGCACTAAAGACTGGAGTAATGGCTGCTGAAAATTCAGCTTTGCCATCACAAGATAAATTAAACGGATTCAAACAGTTATTTTAAGTTGTAATATTTTACCATTTTATTTATGTATCTGATCAAATATTGATGTTTGGTTCAAGACGGGGGAAAAAACATACCTACCCAAAACGTTTGGTGATCAAATACTGTAATGTTTCCATTGGCCAGCTGAAGGAAAAGAGAGATCATCAAGTGGATGAGAAAGAGAGTGCACAGGACAATGTGTCAGAGAATACTGCTCTAAACAAACTCACTGAGGAGGTACAAGACCACATACAAAGACAATAAATCTGGTTCAAAGTGGTTTTTATGCTGCATCTGATTATCTTCTATTATAATTTCAAAAACTCAGGATGTCTTTTGAACCAAACCTGCCCAGAAGACAGCAAGAGGTCGGTTTGATATAGGTTATAGTTCTAAAAATCGGTTTATAATGTGAATATTGTGTTTGCACCTGTGGTATTATGTGTTTTGGACACTGGGTAAGTGTTCTTCAGGTATCTGAGGAGCAGACCTCTCTCCAGCAGAGAGCTGATGAGCAAAGGGCTCTTCATGAGCAGAGACTGGCTGAGATCAGAGCACACAACAATCAGCTGGAGAAGCAGAGAGAGGGTAAGCTCTTTGGATATATTCACAATTAGAAAAAATAAAAAAATATAGAGAGAGTTATTTATTTATTTTTGGAATGTATAAAACAGTTTTCAACCTCTAGCATTTCTATACTGTAGAACGAATCAAAAATATTTTATGAAGTAGTAAATAAAACAAATATTTGAGTATGTTTTACAAAAAAAAATACAATTTCATTTTTTTTACCTTAGAATTTCACTTGTATCAATTTTGCCCTTGTTTTTCCTTTTCTTTTCCCCAAACATTTGTGTATTTATTTACTTGTCCAAAGGAAAAAAGTGATAGAAAAATGTGGTAAAAAACACTTGTGCGTCATTTTCAATAAAGCTGTATTTTTTATTAATTATGCAAAAATGTGAAACTATTATTTAAATGAGTGTTTAGCATACTTAAAATGCGAGAAATTATTTAGCTAAATTTTATTCCAAAAATGTTTTAAATGTCATTTCCAGAAAATAATTTTATTAAACACATCATCATTTGAGAAACAAATAACAATTCACTTACCAACTGCAAACTCGTGCTGTGATTTTTTGAAGCACCTCAAGTACTGGACATTTTCATGTGAATTTCTTCTAAACTATTTTTTAATGATGTGTTTATTCCAGAAATAGAAGAGCGGCTTGCCGAGCTGGCAGGATGGGAGAGGACGGCACATCTTGAAGAAGTGCTGCAAGAACTGAGGTATCAGGAACAGAGAAACGAGGAGGTTCTGCATCAGCTCAGCTCTCACATCAACTCAGTGAAAGGGTAAGAGAGTGGAGGGAAACAGGAAGTGTGCAGAGAAGCTATAAATCACTTGATGCATGTTTATACTGTACTGATGTTGTAGGCCCAGTTCAAATGAAGTCCCCTCTAACCCACCAGAGAAAAAGAAGACACAACATGTTACTTTTGACTTGATCACTTCTGTGGATGGACCTCTCTCTGCTCAGATAAGGTTGGTCTTTTTAACTTACGTTTTATGCCAGAATGATAAAATGATAGAATCCACCTAATAACCCCAAAACTACTGCCTAGGAGTCACCCAGGATACTCTGAGCAACCATTTAGTGACACCTTAGCAACCATCCAGAACACTCTAGCTCTGTGGTGCATTTGTTTTTGTAACAGAGCTTTGCGTCTGGCATACATGCAGTTTGGTGGTTCTGATCCAGAGGTTCTGGCCAATATGCATGACCTTCAAGCAGAGGCTCTTACGCTGGAGCAGGCAAAACATATAGCTGAAGGCAAGACAAAAGGAAGACGTGAGTGGTACCATCATTGAACTGTGGCTGCAGCATATAGCATTTGGACACTTAAAATTCCATTCAAAAATTTGGGGTCAGTAAGATTGATTGATTGATTTTGATATTTATTTATTTAGTAAATAATACTTTTCTCAGCAAGGGTTTATTAAATTGATCAAAAGTGACAGTAAAGATTTAAGTTGGTACAAAAAAACTTTTAAAATAAATGCTTTCCATTCATCAAAGAATCCTGAAAAAAGCAGCACAACATTGATAATAATAAATATTTCTTGAGCACCAAATCAGCATATAATAATATTTGTTGAAAGATCATGTGACACTGAAGACTGGAGTAATTGCTGCTGAAAATTCAGCATTGAATCACTGCAATAAATTACATTTTTAAATATATTTATTAAAATAGAAAACAGTTATATTACAGTTTTTTTTTAATTGCTTAGACACTAAAAGTGGTACTTGAGGCCCACTTAGTGGAACCATTCACTTATAGACCTTTAGACCAAGACTGCAAAACTATAAGCACATTACATGCTTTAAACTCAGTTTGATATTGTAAAACAAACTCTAAACACAGTTCTTAATATTACAAACATCATATAGCATTTGGACACTTAAAATTCCATTCAAAAATTTGGGGTCAGTAAGATTGATTGATTGATTTTGATATTTATTTATTTAGTAAATAATACTTTTCTCAGCAAGGGTTTATTAAATTGATCAAAAGTGACAGTAAAGATTTAAGTTGGTACAAAAAAACTTTTAAAATAAATGCTTTCCATTCATCAAAGAATCCTGAAAAAAGCAGCACAACATTGATAATAATAAATATTTCTTGAGCACCAAATCAGCATATAATAATATTTGTTGAAAGATCATGTGACACTGAAGACTGGAGTAATTGCTGCTGAAAATTCAGCATTGAATCACTGCAATAAATTACATTTTTAAATATATTTATTAAAATAGAAAACAGTTATATTACAGTTTTTTTTTAATTGCTTAGACACTAAAAGTGGTACTTGAGGCCCACTTAGTGGAACCATTCACTTATAGACCTTTAGACCAAGACTGCAAAACTATAAGCACATTACATGCTTTAAACTCAGTTTGATATTGTAAAACAAACTTTTTGCAAAACTCTAAACAGTTCTCTACATTACACACATTATTCGAAACTAACAGCTCTTTTGTTTAATTTGGGAAAACACTTATACATCATTTGTTCACTTAGTAATGAAAAGTAGTTTTTTAGAAATAAATTATTTTTACCCCCTTGCATTTCTGTTTACACTGTATCTATATTGTACAAAGCGCATTATAAATAAAGCTGACTTTATAAATAAAGCTGATTTATCTATCTATCTATACTGAACATGCATACAAGCCAAGTCAGAAAGTCAACTTCATTTCTAAAGTGCTTTATACAATATAGATTGTTTCACAGCAGCTTCACAATAGTATCAAATTCACATTCTGCTGTAGCAGCTCTAACAAGTCAATAGTGTCATTCTACGGCTCAAGTCAGTTGAGCATTGATTCAGTTCAGTTGCGTAACTGTGTAAAATTCATCAGTCATACATACTGTATATACAGTGTATATGTGCATATATGCATGTACAGTATGTGAGAATGCTATGACAAACTCCTGTGCACTCTGCTGCTCTCTGAACAAGCAAAAGACACACGAGAGTAGTGTTTTACATTTTTCACATGTGTGTAGTTTGGCATGTATGTGGCTAATTATTTTATGTTTGTGTGTGGAGTTACTATGCAAATATACCATTTTTAGAAGAGTTTAAAGAGTGTTTGCTTTTGCAAGATGTGTGTGACGTTTTGTATGTTGTGTGTGTGTGTGTTTTGTTGTTTTGTGTGTAGAGTTTTGAGAAATGGAGCCATAGTTTCAAAAACTGTGATTTTGAACCCCCCCCCCCCCCCGTAAAATGTAATAATATTACTGTATTTATTTTACTGTATTTTTTAAATAATATTGCTGTTTTTACTGTATTTGATCACATAAATGCATCGTTGGTAGACATTGACTTCTTTCAAAAACATCAAAATTCTTACCCCAAACTTTTGAATGACGATGTTGGTTTGTCACTACTTTACGTTGTTTGTCGACTTGAAGATGTCCAAATAGTCTTAATTTTGAACAGTGTGTTATATTTTAATCCTATGACATTCATACATTTTGAAGTATTGCCTAAGTGTCTGAATATTTTTTGTGGTCATTGTGCACTATTCTTTCAAGCCCCAGGGTCATATCTTGTTTCTGTCCCACCAGGGATGAAGTCTCCTCACAGACTGCTGGACCCTGATGTTCTTGCTGTGGAGCAGGAGAACCAAAGGCTTGAGGAGGAAATCTTCAGAATCCAGCAGGCCAGGGAGAAGAACAAAGGAGAGCATGGTATTGCTGTTTCTCTCAGATCTTATATCTTGAGACTCGATGACAAAGTGATGTTCAACATTTGATAGAAAATGTGTGTTCTGTCTCTAATTTGCATGCTTATACTATTCACTAAAGGCATAATATTTGATGTTATTATAGAATATTTCTATATATTAGGCTATTTGAATATTTGAATGAATATTTTCTGGATCAGGGCTCATTGATATCCAGAAAGACCACATCCATCAAATGGCTAGCCTTCAAGCCGAGATCGCCTTTTTAAGGAGAGAAATAGAGAAGGGAAGAGAGAGAAGACCACACCATCCTCAAGCTCCTCTGCCTGTTTTTCCTGGATCTTCTATGGCCATAATACACCCTGCTCTGCCACTGGTTAGCCAAAGCTTCAGTCATCTTAATGATGCAATCTGTTGAGTTAATGTGATTTTTAGGATTGCACAAAATTATCTTTGAGTGACAGTGATAGTGAGAATGATAACGAATGATATGGTGTATATATTTTGTATTTACCAATATTGCAGGATCAGAGTTCAAAACAGTATTCATTAATGGGCTCCCATGTAACTGATCCGATGGCAACTCTCGGTCCTGCTCCTTATGATCCTGTGTAAGACACATTTTCACCTCGTCCTCTATTGATTCATTTTTATTTTTCTCATATAGTCCCTATAGATGCATGCCCGTGTCACACTACAGTGCACAGCATAAATGAGTACACCCCCTCTAAACTTAACAAATTCAGCAATTACTCTTTACTTAGAAGACATGTTAGGGTTCTTTGGAGATGTAATGTTCCAACAAGCCTTCTTGATCAATTACCAAAGAAGAATGCCAAAATTATTCAGCAAAATAAGATTTTCTTATCAAAGTGATAAAATTTTGTGTTGCAAAAATGAGTACACCCTCCTGAAAGTTACTAAATAAAAAAAAAAAAGTGTATAGGTTTAAGGCTATTTTTGGTCAACAGGTAAGTGTATTGAACCAAAACTTTTAAAGACATTTCCTGGCAATTAAAAGTGTTATATAGCCCACTGAATCATACTCAGACTTAATGCTGGCAGCAGTGGAACCACTTGGGAGAGAACTGCCAGGTGACTT